TCTATCATAAGCCTTTTCTAAATCCATAAATGCTATAAAAACTTCCCTACCTTTATCTAAATACTGTTCACATATATGCTTCAATGTAAACACTTGATCTACACACCCCCTACCCACTCTGAAATCTCCTTGCTCATCCGCAATCCTACATTCTGTCTTTACCTCTAATTCTTTCAATTATAACCCTACCGTACACTTTTCCTGGTATACTCAGTAAACTTATTCCTCTATAATTTTTACAATCTCTCTTGTCCCCTTTCCCTTTATATAAAGGGACTATACATGCTCTCCGCTAATCCCTAGGTACCTTCCCCTCTTTCATACATTTATTAAACAAAAATACCAACCACTCCAACACTATATCCCCCTTGCTTTTAACATTTCTGTCATGATCCCATCAGTTCCAGCTGCTTTACCCCCTTTCATTCTACGTAATGCCTCGCGTACCTCCCCTACACTTACATTCTGCTCTTCTTCACTCCTAAAAGATGATGATAATAATAACATAATAATCTAAGAAGCATTAACCCTTTGACTGTTTTGGTCGTATGTATACGTCTTGCAAGGTACCGTGTTTGACGTATATACAGTGGACCCCCGCATACCGATTTTAATCCGTGCAAGAGGGGTCATTGTTATGCGAAATAATCGGTATGCGAATGAATTTTCCCCATAAGAAATAATGGAAATCAAATTAATCCGTGCAAGAGACCCAAAAGTATGAAAAAAAAATTTTTTTACCACATGAAATGTTAATTTTAATACACACAAACTGAAAAAGGCATGCACACTTACATGACACTTACTTTTATTGAAGATCTGGTGATAATTGATGGGATGGGAGGAGGGGAGAGAGAGTGTTAGTGTTTAGAAGGGGAATCCCCTTCCATTAAGACTTGAGGTGTCGAGTCCATTTCTGGGGTTACTTCCCTTCTTCTTTTAATGCCACTAGGACCAGCTTCAGAGTCACTGGACTTCTTTCGCACAACATATCTGTCCATAGTGGCCTGTACCTCTCGTTCCTTTATGACTTCCCTAAAGTGTTTCACAACATTGTTAGTGTAATAATCACCAGCACGGCTTGCAATAGCTGTGTGAGGGTGATGCTCATCCATAAAGGTTTGCACTTTCAGCCACATTGCACAGATTTCCTTAATCTTTGTAGTAGGCAACTTCTTCAATTTCTCTCTCCCCTCCTCTGAACCATTTTTTCTCAGGTCTGGCCTCTTGCTCTTGAAGTTGATCTATCAGCTCATCAGTGGTTAGTTCTTCATTGTCCTCCTCCACCAACTCTTCCACATCCTCCCCACTAACCTCCAACCCCAAGGACTTTCCCAATGCCACAATAGATTCCTCAACTGGCATAATCCTCTCAGGGTTAGCCTCAAACCCTTCAAAATCCCTTTTGTCTACACATTCTGGCCACAGTTTCTTCCAAGCAGAGTTCAAGGTCTTCTTAGTCACTCCCTCCCAAGCCTTACCTATAAGGTTTACACAATTGAGGATATTAAAGTGCTCTCTCCAAAACTCTCTTAGAGTCAATTGAGTTTCTGAGGTCACTACAAAGCACCTTTCAAACAGAGCTTTTGTGTACAGTTTCTTGAAGTTTGCAATAACCTGCTGGTCCATGGGCTGCAGGAGAGGAGTGGTATTAGGAGGCAAAAACTTCACCTTAATGAATTTCATGTCCCCATGTCTGTAGGATGACCAGGGGCATTGTCTAACACCAGGAGGCACTTTAGTTCTAATTTCTTTTCAGTTAGGTAATCTTTCACATTGGGGGCAAATGCATGGTGTAACCAGTCATAGAAAAAGTCCCTAGTGACCCATGCCTTACTGTTTGCCCTCCACAGCACACACAAATTCTCCTTGAGGACATTCTTTTGCCTGAACGGTCTGGGAGTTTCAGAGTGATACACTAATAAAGGCTTAACTTTGCAATCACCAGTAGCATTGGAACACATCAACAAAGTAAGCCTGTCTTTCATAGGCTTATGTCCTGGGAGTGCCTTTTCCTCCTGAGTAATGTAGGTCCTGCTTGGCATTTTCTTCCAAAACAGGCCTGTTTCATCACAATTTAAACACTTGTTCAGGTTTCAGTCCTTCAGTCTCTATGTACTTCTTGAATTCCTGCACGTATTTTTCAGCCGCTTTGTGGTCCGAACTGGCAGCCTCACCATGCCTTATCACACTATGTATGCCACTACGCTTCTTAAATCTCTCAAACCAACCTTTGCTGGCCTTAAATTCACTCACATCATCACTAGTTGCAGGCATTTTTTTAATTAAATCCTCATGCAACTTCCTAGCCTTTTCGCTTATGATCGCTTGAGAGACGCTATCTCCTGCTAGCTGTTTTTCATTTATCCACACCAATAAGAGTCTCTCAACATCTTCCATCACTTGCGATCTTTGATTCGAAAACACAGTTAAACCTTTGGCAAGAACAGCTTCCTTGATTGCCTTTCTGGTGCCCACAATAGTAGCGATGGTTGATTGGAGTTTCTTGTACAACCTGACCAGGTCGGCGATACGCACTCCACTTTCATACTTATCAATGATATCTTTCTTCATTTCTATTGGAATTCTCACCCTTATTGGTGTAGGGTTGGCACTAGAAGCTTTCTTGGGGCCCATGGTCACTTATTTTCCAGAAACAGCACCGAAAACACTGTAATAATACGAAATATTCCGATTGTATGCTTGGATGTTACCGCGGAGGCTGGCTGGTAAACAATGGCACGGGCGGCACATGTGAGGCTGGCTGAGGGCGCACATTGGACGCGTCTCGGACGAAAATCGGTGAGCGGGTTTTTAAGCGGTATGCGAGGCAAAATTTTTGCGATTAAAGCAAGCGGTATGCGAATTAATCGTTATGTGGTGCCATCGGTATGCGGGGGTCCACTGTATACTCATAAATTCTAGCGGCTTCAAATCAAGCGGGAGAAAGCTGGTAGGCCCACATGTAAGAGAATAGGTCTGTGTGGTCAGTGTGCACCATATAAAAAAAATCTTGGAGCATGCAGCGCATGAGAAAAAAAACTGACTTTTTTTTTTAATTAAAATGGCGACTTTGTGGTCTATTTTCGTATAGTATTTATGGTTCTATTCTCGTTTTCGTGGTCTCATTTGATAGAATGGAAAACATATTATAGAAATAGAGGTGATTTTGATTGGTTTTACTATAAAAAGAACCTGGAAATGGAGCTCAAAGTAGGGAAAATGTTTGATTTTTGCCGATGTTCAAAAGTAAACAAATGATGTCATTGTCCAATAAATGTCCAACTAGCCATTCTAATATGCAGTCATGAATGGGTTGGCATTATTTGTACAATTATTACAATATTGCAGCAGTCTGCATAACAGTAAATCTATTTTTTGTTTGAATAAAAATTCAAAGTAGAAAGCAAGAGTAATATCAGAGGGCCCTGGAGATGTGACTGATGAACAAAGAAAATGTTATTTTAGAGCCAGGAATGTCTGCATTGTTCATTCTGGACCTTATTTTGAAATTGTCATATTTTTTAGTTTTTGTGAAATTGGCCAAATTGCAAATTTCTGACCACATTATTGGGTAGTTGAAATCAGTAAATGGGCAGTTTCTTGTACTCAATCAATAGAAAAAATAGTTCTAAAGAAATAGCTATGAGTTTGGTAAACTGGAACAATGGAATTAGCCGAAAATAGGGCTCGAAGTGGGCGAAATTGCCAATTTGTAAATATCACCGAGGTCGCTAACATTGTGAGAGCGTAATTCCGTCAGTTTTCCATCAAATTTCGATTTTTTGGTGTTACAATTGGGAAAAGATTTTCTATCATTTCATAAGAAAAAATAATTTTTTTTTTTAAATTTTGCGACACCAGGAGACACCTCAGGATTGTGGGTTGCGAAAAGTCAAGGGGTTAAATATCGTATAAAATGTTAATATAGACATTTTCCTTAATCCATCTAAATACACCCCACAGTAGAATAAATTAACATAAATGAGATGTGGTAGCCAGGTGACTTGTAGGATTTGTGGTAGCCAGGTGACTTGTAGGACTTTGTTGAAAACCAGATGCGTTCATCTGTTTGTTTACATTATGTGTGGGTGGGGTGGGGAGGGCTGCCCTTTCTGGCTACCCATACTTCCCAACCTGACTTCATACAAATAAAACTCACCTCTTACGCTACTTCATACAAATAAGACTCGCCTCTTACGCTACATAAAGACTACAGATATTTTAAGGTAATTAATAGAGTGTACTGTATATGCATTTTATCGCTCTAGGGAGCTTAATGTCATAGTAGGTATAAGTGGCCTGGCAGGATGCCATACCTCCCACATGACTTTTTACTAATATACTTTTCACCTCTCACCTTACATTAAGACCATTAAAAGTACAAATATTTTAAGGTAAGTACAGCGTCTACTGTATATGCATTTTATCGCTGTAGGGAGCTTTAAGCATTGCAGTATAGCATGTGTGGGTGGGGTGGCCAGGAGGGCTACCACAACTGTCTTCTTAGAGTAAATACTACTCGCCTTTTGCCCTACATTAAGACTACAAATATTTTGATGTAAATGAGTGTACTGTGTGTGTATTTTACTTTTTAATGCCTAGTTCTAATGCTAACTTAATATATGTTAGTGTAAACTTGTTATCTGGCATTTGTATGCATTTATAAATGGAAAAAATGGAGTTCTGCTTTCCGGCAAAGTCTGCTTTCTGGCAGTAGCCTGGAACCTAACCTGCCGAATAAGTGGGGCCCTACTGTACTGTAATCATTTTGTATGCTATAAAAACACTTGTGTAATTAATATAATGCCTATTAATAAAATAAATGAGCAGAGAAACTATAACTTTACCTTTACTGACTTCAGTTAACTGGCACAGATGGAAGTTGCAGAGGAAGGAGGCTCCTGTTTAGAGGATAATAAGTAAATTTCAGGTTTGAGTGCCTTAGTAAACGTGTAACATGCATTTATAACTTTGTACGGAAATTTATATTTTTACAGATTGCAATAATGAGATTTGAGACATCTGGAGTAATTTGTATGGAGGCTTTCAAGGATCATCCACAACTTGGACGGTTCACATTAAGAGATGAAGGTAGGAATTATAGATTAGGGTATAACATAACTGGGTTTATTGTAGCTGATTCTGGAAAACTGACTACAGAACTATCCCTTGCTTAGTGAGTGAATGTCCACTGAACTCCACACACTAAGACTAACTAGCTTTCCAGGACTTCAGACTTTGGTATAGGCACAGTGAGTTTTATATATAATGTCTTTTTCTAAAAAAAAGTATGTACTCTCAAATGCATGTGGTTGTCCTCTTGCAATATTTACATATGTACATGGGCAGCTCTAGGACCTCCCTATCAGTTTTTCTCTAGTTTTTCATTAAGTTTTCTAATGAAATCTTCATTTTCTTAACTTTCAAGAGAGGTGCCTTCATGCCAGTCAAGTTCTCTTGAACCAAGGGATTGGAGCTACCCTTCCTCAGATTGGACCTGATTCCCCTTTTTTCCTCCATTTCCCAGATGCTGTATAACATCCACAGATTGAATGGTTCCCCATGCATATTTTTTTTTTTTCAACAAGTCTGCCGTCTCCCACCGAGGCAGGGTGACCCAAAAAAGAAAGAAAATCCCCAAAAAGAAAATGCTTTCATCATCATTCAACACTTTCACCACACTCACACATTATCACTGTTTTTGCAGAGGTGCTCAGAATACAACAGTTTAGAAGCATATACATATAAAGATACCTAGCATATCCCTCCAAACTGCCAATATCCCAAACCCCACCTTTAAAGTCCAGGCATTGTACTTCCCATTTCCAGGACTCAAGTCCGACTATATGAAAATAACCGGTTTCCGTGAATCCCTTCACTAAATATTACCCTGCTCACACTCCAACAGATGTCAGGTCCCAAGTATCATTCGTCTCCATTCACTCCTATCTAACACGCTTACGCACGCTTGCTGGAAGTCCAAGCCCCTTGCCCACAAAACCTCCTTTACCCCCTCTCTCCAACCCTTTCGAGGACGACCCCTACCCCTCCTTCCTTCCCCTATAGATTTATATTCTTTCCATGTCATTCTACTTTGATCCATTCTCTCTAAATGACCAAACCACCTCAACAACCCCTCTTCTGCCCTCTGACTAATGCTTTTATTAACTCCACACATTCTCCAAATTTCCACACTCCGAATTTTCTGCATAATATTTACACCACACATTGCCCTTAGACAGGACATCTCCACTGCCTCCAACCGTCTCCTCGCTGCTGCATTTACCACCCAAGCTTCACATCCATGTAAGAGTGTTGGTACCACTATACTTTCATACATTCTCTTCTTTGTCTCCATAGATAGCGTTTTTTTGACTCCACATATACCTTAACGCACCACTCCCCTTTTTTCCCTCATCAATTCTATGATTAACCTCATCCTTCATAAATCCATCCGCCGACACGTCAACTCCCAAGTATCTGAAAACATTCTCTTCTTCCATACTCCTCCTCCCCAATTTGATATCCAATTTTTCTTTATCTAAATCATTTGATACCCTCATCACCTTACTCTTTTCTACGTTCACTTTCAACTTTCTACCTTTACACACATTCCCAAATTCATCCACTAACCTTTGCAAGTTTTCTTTAGAATCTCCTATAAGCACAGTATCATCAGCAAAAAGTAACTGTGTCAATTCCCATTTTGAATTTGATTCCCCATAATTTAATCCCACCCCTCTCCTGAACACCCTAGCATTTATTTCTTTTACAACACCATCTATAAATATATTAAACAACCATGGTGACATTACACATCCCTGTCTAAGACCTACTTTTACTGGGAAGTATTCTCCCTCTCTTCTACACACCCTAACCTGAGCCTCACTATCCTCATAAAAACTCTTAACAGCATTTAGTAACTTACCACCTATTCCATATACTTTCAACATCTGCCACATTGCTCCTCTATCCACTCTATCATATGCCTTTTCTAAATCCATAAATGCAATAAAAACTTCCCTACCTTTATCTAAATACTGTTCACATATATGCTTCAATGTAAACACTTGATCTACACATCCCCTACCCACTCTGAAGCCTTCTTGCTCATTTGCAATCCTACATTCTGTCTTACCTGGTATACTCAGTAAACTTATTCCTCTATAATTTTTACAATCTCTTTTGTCCCCTTTCCCTTTATATAAAGGGATTATACATGCTCTCTGCCAATCCCTAGGTACCTTCCCCTCTTTCATACATTGATTAAACAAAAGTACCAACCACTCCAACACTATATCCCCCCCTGCTTTTAACATTTCTGTCATGATCCCATCAGTTCCAGCTGCTTTACCCCCTTTCATTCTACGTAATGCCTCGCTACCTCCACCACACTTACATTCTGCTCTTCTTCACTCCTAAAAGATGGTATACCTCCCTGGCCAGTGCATGAAATTACCGCCTCCCTTTCTTCCTCAACATTTAAAAGTTCCTCAAAATATTCTCGCCATCTACCTAATACCTCCCTCCCCATCTACTAACTCCCCTACTCTGTTTTTAACTGACAAATCCATACTTTCCTAGGCTTTCTTAACTTGTTTAACTCACTCCAATTTTTTTTCTTATTTTCATTAAAATTTCTTGACAGTGCCTCTCCCACTCTATCATCTGCTCTTCTTTTGCACTCTCTCACCACTCTCTTCACCTTTCTTTTACTCTCCATATACTATGCTCTTCTTATAACACTTCTACTTTGTAAAAACCTCTCATAAGCTACCTTTTTCTCTTTTATCACACCCTTTACTTCATCATTCCACCAGTCACTCCTCTTTCTTCCTGCCCCCACCCTCCTATAACCACAAGCTTCTGCCCCACATTCTAATACTGCATTTTTAAAACTATTCCAACCCTCTTCAACCCCCCCCACTACTCATCTTTGCACTAGCCCACCTTTCTGCCAATAGTCGCTTATATCTCGCCCGAACTCCCTCCTCCCTTAGTTTACACACTTTCACCTCCCTCTTTTTTTTTTTTTTTTTTTACACAGGGTTTGACAAGGTTAAGGATCCCTAGCTTTATTGACAGCTATTTACAGGTTAAGGATTCCTAACTTTATTGGCAAGCTAAGAGCTGTTACCTACATCAGCTCATTTGAAAGCATTTTTATTGTTATGAGACATACAAGTAGGAAACAGGATGAAGTTGGAGCCATCTGTGGGCCAGCATTTTCATTTGATCAACTGACTTTATCTCCTTGACATCATTATCCTGTACGAATGTGTTCCATACTCGAGTCATCCTGGGTATGTATGATCTCAGATGGAGTGATGTTCTGGAGAAGGGTACAGCCAGAGTGAAGTTGCTGCTTTCTGCCCATCTTGTGGCATAAAAGCTTGTTTCACGCTGTCCTCAAAGTGGATCCAAGTGTGGTATTTTGACAATATTGGCCTTGTACATAACAGTAAGGCCACCCACATCCCTCCTATGTTGAAGGCTCTGCTGAAATGACAGATCTATCCAGGATGGGTCCAGGCGAGAGATGAGATGTCTTGCTCTGTTCTCTACTCTGTCAAGCAGTCGCAGATGAGAGGGGGGGCAGGCAGACCAAGAAAGTGGAGCATACTCAAGGTGCGAGCGTACTTGTGCCTCGTACAGGATCTTGCAACCCCTACTGTCAAGCAGATGGGAGATACGGCGAAGTGCTGTAAGCTTCCTGGCTGCCTTGTTTGCAAGATTTACAACATGGTTCTTCATGGTTAGTTTGGAGTCAGATTTCACCCCAAGGATATCAACTTCCTCTCCAGGTGCCAACATCCTCCCATTCATCCTTACTACTGCACCAGCATTACCATCATGGTGCCTAGAGATGATCATCATTTGCGTTTTCTCAGGTGCAAATGTTACTTGCCATCTATTTCCCCAAGCTGATATAGCTCTCAGCTGGTGATTGATGTAGCTTAGAGCAGCTGGCATTTCTTCTCTTGGATAAGTGAATGTCAGTGTACAGTCGTCTGCATATGCATGTGATTCTGGGATGAGATGAAGAAGGTCGTTGAAGTAGACTTTCCATAACAATGGACCCAGCACGCTTCCTTGTGGAACACTTGCCCCAATAGGATGTCTTGCTGATTCCGTTCCATTGAGAACTACACTTAGAGATCTACCATGAAGGTAGTCACTGAGGAGACATAGTGTAGAGCCTGCAATTCCCTGTGCTTGAAGTTTTGCTAAGAGGCCCTGGTGCCACACCCGGTTGAAAGCGCCAGCAATGTCCAGTGCTACCACACAGCTGACTTTGGATTCATCCAGTGACTGGTGCCACTTAGTGGAGAGGTTTAACAACAGATCAGCAGCAGAGTAACCTTTCCTGAAGCCATATTGACGATCACAAAGTAGTGAGTGGTAGTCAAAAAACTCTGTCATTTTTCTTGAGATTATTGTCTCAAGGATCTTACCAGTGATTGACAGGAGTGACACTGGTCTGTAGTTGCTGATTTCTGCTCTGCTCTTCTTTTTGTGAACAGGGACTACATTTGCCTCTTTCCATAGAGAGGGCCATTTACACTGTACTAGGCAGTGCTGAAAGATGCGAGTTAGAGGTGCTGCTAGCTGGTCTGCACATCTCAACAATCTTGGGCTCAACTTGTCTGGGCCCACAGCCTTTTCTTGGTCAAGCAATTTAAGTATGAAATGCACCTCCTCCTGCCTTGTCACCACTGACCACTATTGACACCACTTACTTGTTGCCACCTTCTTCTTTTCCCATCTACCTCTTACTCTAACTGTAGCTACAACTAAATAATGATCCGATATATCAGTTGCCCCTCTATAAACATGTACATCCTGGAGCCTACCCATCAACCTTTTATCCACCAATACATAATCTAACAAACTACTTTCATTACGTGCTACATCATACCTTGTATATTTATTTATCCTCTTTTTCATAAAATATGTATTACTTACCAAATTTCTTTCTACACATAGCTCAATTAAAGGCTCCCCATTTACATTTACCCCTGGCACCCCAAATTTACCTACTACTCCCTCCATGACATTTTTACCCACTTTAGCATTGAAATCCCCAACCACCATTACTCTCTCACTTGATTCAAAACTCCCCACGCATTCACTCAACATTTCCCAAAATCTCTCTCTCTCCACTACACTTCTCTCTTCTCCAGGTGCATACATGCTTACTATAACCCACTTTTCACATCCAGTCTTTATTTTACTCCACATAATCCTTGAATTAATACATTTGTAGTCCCTCTTTTCCTGCCATAGCTTATCCTTCAACATTATTGCTACTCCTTCTTTAGCTCTAACTCTATTTGAAACCCCTGACCTAATCCCATTTATTCCTCTCCATTGAAACTCTCCCACCCCCTTCAGCTTTGTTTCACTTAAAGCCAGGACATCCAGTTTCTTCTCATTCATAACATCCACAATCGTCTCTTTCTTATCATTTGCACAACATCCACGCACATTCAGACTTCCCACTTTGACAATTTTCTTCTTATTCTTTTTAGTAATCTTTACAGGAAAAGGGGTTACTAGCCCATTGTTCCCGGCATTTTAGTTGACTTTTACAACACGCATGGCTTACGGAGGAAAGATTCTTATTCCACTTCCCCATGGATATAAAAGGAAAAGTAATAAGACCAAGAACTATTAAGATAAAATAAAAGAAAACTCAGATGAGTGTGTATAAATAAATGTGTACATGTATGTGTAGTGGGACCTAAGTGTAAGTAGAAGTAGCAAGACATGCCTGTAATCTTGCATATTTATGAGACAGACAAAAGACACCAGCAATCTTACCATCATGTAAAACAATTACAGGCTTTCGTTTTACACTCACTTGGCAGGAGGTAGTACCTCCCTGGGTGGTTGCTTTCAGCAATTTGTAACGGCTAATCATGACAGCTGATGTGGGAAGGTGGTGAGCTTTGTGGCTCGTTGAACACTGCACATAATAATTTTCCATCAGTCAAAACGTATTCTATGTACAGGTTATAATGAGTGTCACACCCTAGTAACTATAGAGTCACATGTATTTAGAAGGCAGGTAATTCAGTCTAGTACCTTAGTACAGTCTACCTCTGCAGAACATAATTTTAATGATAAAAAATTAATGTGGGGACACTTTTAGATTGACGTTTTTCCACTTAGGCGATGACCCCTCATAAGCAACGGTGATCAACAAGCAAACAAATGTAGTGCATGGCTTTCTTGCTTGGATGATGATGTTCACCAAGAGAGGTTTCTCTTACAGATTGTTTTTGTCATTTAGCTGTTTATCTTGGCTTCTTAGCATAAAGGACTGTCAAGCCACTGTAATTAGCCTAAGTCAACTGGTATCAAAAGACCATAAATAGGTAAACTTGCAGTGGTTCAAAAGCCAAGAGAAAAAGTATTACCTTAGGCCATACTTTTTGTCTGATTGTTGCTGGTTAAAAATCCTGGCATAGCAAAATAACTTAACCTGGCAAAATCCACAGTAGACCATGTACCATTTGGCACAAATGTGAAAGTTGATGAAAGTGCTAGGTGTGCAACTCCACTTGCTTCTGCAATAGTTTTTTGCAGAGGGAATAAATTGTGGATTGAGCACAAGACCCATAATCACATGCTACTTGAAATAGTTGTTCAGATGGCCTTGAGTTTCAGGAACTTAAAATAAAATGGTGGAAGCTGCCATAAGGGGTTAGCAGGTTCAGGATGTGTGGCAACTTTTGTAACTTAGACACGAGTGGTGAGGCTGCTCCCTTTACAAAGTCTTGATATAAATGATAGAAGGTAGCTAGCTGTAGGTAGCTATATATCTCGGAAGTCTTCACTGCTGAAAAGACGACTATTGGAAGTGGATGCCATGTCAGGACATGGGAAAGGGGCTCCAGGACTCTAACTAGCCAAAAACAATAATTATTCTTAGAGGCAATGCAGTGGTAGATTTAAAGCTAAAATTTTAAGTGTACCATTTTGAAAACCCAAGAGCAGTGAAAGATCCTCTTTTAACCCTTTCATTGTCCAAACTCCCAGTCTGAAACTTGTCCACACTGTCCAAGAATTAAAAAAAAAAAAAAAAATTCCTGTCAAATGATAAAAAAAAAAAAATGAATTTTGCTGCGAGTGATATTTACATATTGGCAATTTTGCCCACTTTGAATCCTATTTTAGGCCTATTACATTGTTCCAGTCAACCAAATTCTTAGCTATTTCAGTAATATGTCTTCCATTTTATCGATTAAGCACAAGAAATCGCCAGTCATCTATTTCAGCTACCCAGTAAAGTGACCAGAAATTTGGTAATTTGCCAGTTCACACAAATTTCAAAGTTATTGTAAGCAGAGTATGATACATTGTTGCTATTACAACCAATTCATATTTTAGAGAAAAATTATTGTATTATTGAAAGAGTGAATAACATTTTATAGTAAAATTTTGAAGTTTAATCATTATTGGTAAATGTTTTTATTTTTAAGTTTTAGAAATAATTTGTAATACAGAAGTTGGCCAGTTCATACATGGGCTGTAGAATTAATATTTACTTCCCTGATGAAAGTATGTTTAGAAATCAAGAACATAATGCTGTTTTCATTTGCAGGTAAAACCATTGCTATTGGTAAAGTTTTGAAAGTAGTGGAGTAAATTGTTGGACCTTCGCGAGCCTTCGGAAAAAAGCATGTCAGACTACCAAAAACATGAGTACTGAAGTTATGTGCAATTCCTTTCTTTGGAAATTTTGCTCACACAAAGAGCTTAATGAAATGTTATAAGAGAGGTTAATATACATACATCAGTCTAGAGAGATCCATAAAAGTTACCTCGAATGAATCACATGAAGGCAGAAGACTCGCACAATTGGTCCATCCACTAAGCAGAGAGAATCAAAGTGCGTGGATGTCCTGCCAGAATCTCCGCCTTTTCCCTCTTCCTGCCATGCTCAACCCTCGAAGACAAATCCTCACTGCAAGATTGCATCGTTGTATGCCCACAGATGGCAGGCTGTTTAGAGAGAAATCGTGGTGGAAGAAATGTGTATACAAGATCAGTGTGAATTGTCTCTTACATAAATCTTTTATACAGATTTCCTGAGATAGCTTTGTGACTTTGGGTTTTGCGCATATTAAGTGATGAAAATTCTTGGTCATGGATGAGAGTACTGTACAGTGAGCAGGGAATCTGGGGGTGATTGGAACACTTGAGTAAATGCATTAATGGATTTCACAGTGCACACAGATAGGCTTAATAGGAGACAAAATTCTTGTACGAAACTGAAGTGTGCTGACCACAGTTATAATGTTATAACTATACAAAGTTTATTCAGATCATTGATTTAAAATTATTAGCAAGGGATGTATAATTTTTTTTTGTAATGGGTGTTTATTTATTGGAAAGTTACAATATCACTGGATATATGCACAATGTTTATGCCATATTTTAAGTACTGTTCAGAATTTTTAAAAAATTAAGTTTTGTGAGAACTCTGCTAAAGCCTTGTCTAGGCCTTGTGAGTATCTTTTCTGAGGGTGAGAAGAAATGGCAGTGGGTATTCCTTCTTATGTGATAAATAGACTTTACAGGTACCACATACATCCTTGCTTCCTCCTCTGTGCCTGTGGTTGCACGTTTTAGTGTTAACATGCAGTGGCTTATATTTGTGGTGGTTCTCCTCTTTGGAGCATTTCAGCTGTCCTTTCATTCACACAGCTGGCCAGTGGCAGGCTGTCCTAAGTCCAGATGGCACAGAGGAAGAGAAATGGGACATTGCCTGTGCAGTGTGAGCCCAGTGCTACTGCTAATCTAGGAGTAGGGGCTCCAGAACTCCATAGCTTTTTTGTATTTTTTTTTTATAATATATATTATATATATAGCCTTCACCTTCTGGACTGGGAATGAGAAAAGTACTGGTGCTATGGAGTGTACTGGGTGCCTTGCTCTTTACATAATTTGTGGCTTGTTCATGCTGCTAAATTGTTTGAATTTTGTTATATTTGAGCTATTGTATGCAATTCCAAATGGAATTACTGATAGTTCCCTATATTCATATTGCATTTTTTGTTTTGGCAGTTTTATTAGGCTTAATGAAAAGATAGGTTAGTAAATCACAGAATTTTTTGTATTCCAAGAGCTGCCAGTAGCCCTTGTATAAAGAGGTATTTATATATTTGCTGTTGCAAATTTTTTCTCAATAACCCAAGAAATCTTTTTATTGTAGTTATCCTGTCTAAATGGAAAACTTGTTCGAATATACAGGATGTGGAGGGTGGCCATTGTTTTTGTTACCTGTGTTGACATTGCTTACATATAGGATATATGATTAGTAGTATTTATTTTAAGAAGGTAGGTAGAATTGCACATTTGCACAACAGCTTTTCAACCCTTATAAAAGGTTAAAAACATCTGTATCATCATTGCCTTTATTCCCATTCAAATATTGTAGTTATAAATTATACACCAAACATTTAGTAATTTGAGATGTAGAGCAGAAGTGACCGACTTAAATGACACCTTGCTGATTTATCGTTGTTTACTGCAAAGTTGAATTATCGAGTGAGATCTCATCTTTGCACAAATTATTCATATGGCTTTTCATTCATTCTTACCTTTACCATTATTTAGATGGACAAGTACTGCTATTGCCTAATCTTCCAAATGCTTGTTTTGTTTAAATACAACAGATTTTATTTTTATATATATACCCATCCATAAATATAAGGAGTTCTTATACGTACTGTTGACTATGTCCGTCCACAAATAATTTTGTTTCCAAAGGTAGGTCTTGAATGATTCGGGTCTTTGGAAATGCTTATGATGGTACATTGCTAAAGGATATTGCCTAGGAATGAGTCTTAGTTGGTGATGGTTTTTTTTATTTCTACTAAATAGCACTGGAAAATTGCTGCATCCCACATGGCATATATTAAAAACTTGTAAAGTACGATCAATATTACTTGATTTGGTACTCCTGCAGTTGGAAGATCTTAACTGTTTTGACATTTCAGCCATGTTGACCCATGGTAATAAAGCAATTACACAAATTCAACAGCAAAGGGTTTGTTGCCACAAGACCTTGTGACTTCACCCCATAGATGGTTATGGTGAGTGGACTGTGTTAAAAATTGATAATCATCATGATTACTCTACATAGTATATCCTGGAATAGGATTTCAGTCTGACCAAATAGTGGGCTACATATCAAAACTTCAAATATGGTTTGTAGGGTAAATATGATGTGTAGCCTTGTATGCTTTCATTATGTGATTAAAATTTTAAACTATATTCATTACTACCTATATCTTTTTTATGTACTCTTTATCTTCCAGCTTTTTTATATGTAATTTTTTTGCACTGCTATCTTCACATGAGGCAATCTGCCACTTTTCCTTAGGGATTTTTTTTGTCAGAGAGGCACTTGTGTGTGTGAATTAACCCTTTCAGGGTCCGTCCCGTAGATCTACGGCTTTGCGTTCAGTGTCCAAACCGTAGATCTACGTCATGAGCTCAGCTCACTCTGATAAACTGTGAGTGGTACACTTGGGCCTAGATATGAGAGAATACATCTATGTGGTATGTGTGCACCACATAAAACAAATCCTGCAGCACACTGTGTATAATGAGAGAAAAAACTGAAACCAAGATTTTCGATTAAAACGGCAACTTTGCAGTGTTTTTTTTGTATGTTTTTTATAGTTGTATTTGCAATTTCTTGATCTCATTTGATAGAATGGAAGACATATTACAGAAACAGAGATGATTTTGATTGGTTTTAGCACCGGAAATGACTTGAAACTGAGCTCAAAGTAGCGGAAATGTTAAATTTTTGTCGATGTTCAAGAGTAAACAAACGACCTCACACGTCTAATACACGCCAGCTGGCGGATCTAATACACATTCACAAATGTGGTGATGATATTTATACAATTATTACAATATTGCATAACAGTAAATCTTCTATTTTTTGGTGTGAATAAAAATTCATTATGTAAATAAAAAATAAAAATGGGATTTATTTGTAAAGCCTCAAAACGTAACTAATGAACCGAGGAAATGTTAGTTTAGTGCCAGGAATGCCTACATTGTTTATTCTGGATGCTATTTTGAAATTGGAATATTTTGAACTTTGTGTTAAATTGGCCAAATTACCAATTTCCGATCACTTTATTTTGTAGTTGAAACAGTTGACTTGGCGATTTCTTGTGCTCAATCGATAGAATAGAAGTAATACTAGTAAAATAGCTAAGAATTTGGTCGACTGGAATGATGAAATTGGCCTAAAATGGAAGTCAAAGTCGGCAAAATCGCCGATTCGTAAATATCGCTGACACATCAAAATTCGCGAGAGCATAATTTTGTCAATTTTCCATCAAATTTCGTACTTTTTGTTTTATTACCTTCGCAAAAAGATTCTCTACCATTTCATAAGAAAAAATAACATTTTTTTTTTTTTTGGAAAATTCTTGGACACTGGGGCACCACTTCAGATTTGGGCCTTGGACCCTGAAGGGGTTAATAATAGCTTTTCCCCTGACTTCACCCAGGCTAACAGCGTACATCAAGGCTGCATTCTTAGCATTACCCTTTTTTGCTTGCCTCTGTGCTCCCTTCCAGTATTTGGTTTTAGCTATGTTGATGTTTTTCCTATAGCATGTGCAAGCACTGACTGTCACCTTGCATCAGTCTCCAGAATTCTATTGATTGTGCTTCCCACTGGGCCACCTCTCATGGGTTTATATTTTTTATTCCTAAAACACATCTACTTACTTTCATGAGACATCCTGGTGTCCCTTCTACTGTTCTATACCTGTACGGTTCCTGCATCCTTGAACAGGATATGATAAAATTTCTCTTCTGTTAGATTGCAGAATATCCTGGAGGCCTCTCATTACCTCCCTAAAAGTTGCTTGACCCTCCTTACAACTCTAGCCCATCTTTCTTGGGAAGGTGATAAATGCACCCTTCTTCGCAATCGAGCAACCCTTATCTAAACTAGACTACGGTGACCACCTATACGTATTCTTCAGCCTCCACCATTACTCTTTCCAAGCGTTATCCCATAATGGGTTATGTTTGTGTCTCAGGGCCTTCCGTTCTTCCCCAATTATGAGCCTATATGAAGAGGTGAACATTGGATTAACACAATGTTTGTCTTATTTTGTTATTTTTCACGATCTTCGTAATCCTTCAACGTGTAGTACAGTACAGTAGTGGATGTTAGTAATACTTCTTTGTTTAATTAGCACCCCCATTTATTACAGCTCTTTCCTCCCTCTATTTTCTCTATTTTTTTTTTTTTCAACAAGTCGGCCGTCTCCCACCGATGCAGGGTGACCCAAAAAAGAAAGAAAATCCCCAGAAAGAAAGTACAGTGGACCCCCGCATAACGATTACCTCCGAATGCGACCAATTATGTAAGTGTATTTATGTAAGTGCGTTTGTACGTGTATGTTTGGGGGTCTGAAATGGACTAATCTACTTCACAATATTTCTTATGGGAACAAATTCGGTCAGTGCTGGCACCTGAACATACTTCTGGAGTGAAAAAATATCGTTAACCGGGGGTCCACTGTACTTTCATCATCATTCAACACTTTCACCACACTCTCACATTATCACTGCTTTTGCAGAGGTGCTCAGAATACAACAGTTTAGAAGCATATACGTATAAAGATACACAACATACCCCTCCAAACTGCCAATATCCCAAACCCCTCCTTTAAAGTGCAGGCATTGTACTTCCCATTTCCAGGACTCAAGTCCGACTATATGAACATAACCGGTTTCCCTGAATCCCTTCACTAAATATTACCCTGCTCACACTCCAACAGATCGTCAGGTCCCAAGTATCATTCGTCTCCATTCACTCCTATCTAACATGCTCATGCACGCTTGCTGGAAGTCCAAGCCCCTCGCCCACAAAACCTCCTTTACCCCCTCTTTCCAACCTTTTCGAGGACGACCCCTACCCCTCCTTCCTTCCTCTATAGATTTATATGCTTTCCATGTCATTCTACTTTGATCCATTCTCTCTAAATGACCAAACCACCTCAACAACCCCTCTTCTGCCCTCTGACTAATGCTTTTATTAACTCCACACCTTCTCCTAATTTCCACACTCCGAATTTTCTGCATAATATTTACACCACACATTTCCCTTAGACAGGACATCTCCACTGCCTCCAACCGTCTCCTCGCTGCTGCATTTACCACCCAAGCTTCACATCCATATAAGAGTGTTGGTACTACTATACCTTCATACATTCCCTTCTTTGCCTCCATAGATAACGTTTTTTGACTCCACATATACCTTAACGCACCACTCACCTTTTTTCCCTCATCAATTCTATGATTAACCTCATCCTTCATAAATCCATCCACCGACACGTCAACTCCCAAGTATCTGAAAACATTCACTTCTTCCATACTCCTCCTCCCCAATTTGATATCCAATTTTTCTTTATCTAAATCATTTGATACGCTCATCACCTTACTCTTTTCTATGTTCACTTTCAACTTTCTACCTTTACACACATTCTCAAACTCATCTACTAACCATTGCAATTTTTCTTTAGAATCTCCCATAAGCACAGTATCATCATCTATTGGCTATACTTAATTTATCTCTATTTCCATCCTGCATTTTGGTTTTCCTCTTTGGATGTCCTAGTGATACATGTTTGGTCTTATCCACTTAAGCTATCACTTATTGCTCACTTTCTTAATCACTATTATTCTTTCTAATGCTATTTCAGTGTATGCTGATAGTTCTGAATCCTCTGGTGTCTGGTATACAGTGGTTGTTCCTGACAAAATTATTTGGCGTCATTTACCACACGACTGGTATGTTTGCAGCCGAGTTTTATGCAATTCTCATGGCCCTACTGTGCATGCATTACATTGATGTCCACTTCATTTGTATTCATTTCAGACCCCTGTAGTGCATCAGAAGCTATCCAGAAATTTGATTCCCCTCATCTCATCATCCTGTGTATATTGTTGGTTATTCTGCATTTCTAGTAGACAGACACGTTTTGCTGGGTCCCTAGACATGATGTTCAGGGGTAACAAACGAGCAGGGACATTCCTTTCTTGGACTATTTTTCAGTGATCTCATGACAACTTTGTAACTGGTGGCAACAGTGGTGGTGCGAGTTCGTCAATAACAAATTTTCTTTCAACTTACAAATAGACTAGACTTAATCTTCCCACTGCTGTTGCATTTGGGAGACCACTCTTCCATCTACCTATCAGCCCCACATGCTTCAGACACCTCATAGTAAGACACCTGGTGCCACTCATGATTGTCAGGTTAGTCGGTCTACCATATCCTGGTAGTGTCCAACTTATCATTGGGCACAGATTTCACTTCTGTTGTCTTTGCTACCCCAATGCTGACTGATTTGCTGCAAGTCCCACCTTTGGTGCATTCACTTTTTGCCTTTTTACTGGAAACTAACTTACTGCCCCAACTGTGACTTTACTTTTCCTCTTGCACTCTCCCCTATCCCCAATAATCCCTGCCTTCACACACTCCTGCCCTTCCATCTCTTTTGCACATTCCTCTTTTCACACGCCTTTACCTGTAGCAGTGTATGACCCTTTGTGTCATGCACCACTCAATTTTATTGTATTATCATTATCAGACTTACGACTCCTTACTGCAATTTAGATGTATTTTTGTTTTGGGATTAATCCTTACATTGAAGGTTTGTTATTAATTTAATTTCTTTGA